AATAAAATAATTCGAAGTGGTCTGTATTCTGTCGAAACTGCCAGACGCGGATCGCGATTTCGATCTTTTTGGATCTCCTCAGCGCGTCGCGTTTATCGCGCCATTTGTGGCATTTTCTAAAACGCACTCTTAAGGCAACAGGTAAAAGTTGTTCTATGTTCTGTCGGAGCTGCCTGCGACGCGCTGATCCAAAAAGATCGAAATCGCGATCTGCGTCTGGCAGTTTCGACAGAATACAGACCTCTTCGAATTATTTTATTAAATGTACAATTATTCTGAAAACATTTGGAAATTTAAAATGCAAAACAAAATTAGTGAGTACACACGTGCGAGTCAATAACACGTGCGAATCACTAATCCACAATTGAACAAAATGATTCGTACTTAGTGCACTAGACATGACCCTATTGCATGTCAAAGCGTGATTTCTCATATATGATAACATTTACAATAATTCTATAAAATGATAAACGAATGTATTTGCTTTAATACAAAGAAACTTTCATTTTTTCTTTAATGACTTATTTACTCTAAAACTACAAGACGCGTAGTAAGAATGTTCTTTTGTTAGTAAGTATTAATGACAAATGAGCAAATGAAGATGACTTTTTTATTTAAGAAAATGATACAGTCACTGTAGAAAATCATTTCGGTAAATTATGACATAATTATTTATCAAGGTGATACTTAATTGGACCCACCTATTTACGTTCAATTTTATTTATCTTTATTACCATAGATAGGTATTGCAATTATTTTCCAGATAAATAACTTTTTCAAAATATGTTATTTCAACCAATTTGATAATATTATGATTACAGAAAGGAACTTTCATGACTTTTGCTTCGTTTGATATTTCTTTAGAAAGCGTTATTTTACTTACAATTTCGACAATCTTTATTCCAAGTTGCCAATTCCTCAGAAAGAATTTCTTAAGCGACCTCTTCGGGACAACTTTCGACTCTTCCTCTTTCTGATTACATTCGTAATCGACATTCATCATAACTGGGGGGTTGTTACTTAGCAAATCGTACACCGTTTTGACGGATGAAAGAAACACTCGATTAAAGAAAAGCTGATACAGTTATTGTCGCGTACAGATGGAAGATGCCCGTATCAAAACTGAATCAGTCAATGTGCCAGTGGACGGAAGAATTCGTGCGCCGTAGTTAATTTACCTTATTAACCCCAAGATCAATTAACTAATTACGTCCCGTGCACACCTACATAGGAATGTCTAGAGCAACAAAAGTTCCTTAGTTAACCGATGAATATTAGTGTGATAATTAATCCTCATTGCGAAATTAATTCTAGGCTCGTAGGTATCTACTAGATATACAGAAAAAATATGCAAATGCTAAATAGAAGTATTGACAAATGCAACCTTGTAAAACAAAAAACAAGTTACGGTACGCTACTGTCAAAACCTGTTGAATTTCATGACACTAATGTTTTGCCAAAAAAATAATTAATCCAATGATGACAGTCAGACAGACTTATATGCGATCTTGAAGTGGATCATAACATATCTAAATCATTCCCTACACTTAAAATGTTTACGTAGTTATGACAAATCGAAGGTAGGGTTACAAATTCGATATTTTCAATATGGCGGCCAGACGCCATTACATGCCATTACTACTTAACAGTGATCTCCAAAATAATTCCTAACAGTTGAAATGTTTACCTTAATATGGTACACAGATGATAGAGTTACAAATTTCANAAGAGGAAGGTTTATATGTATAATACATGCATAATATAGTAGGGAAACACTGATAATTTTAGAGGTTTCTAATGTGATGTCGTAAATAAACACATTTTTGCGCTTACATTGCAAGCGCTGGCTGAACCCTACGAGATAGACCAAAATAATGTACTATAATATTGTACATCTTAAAAGGGTCTACAAAAAAGTCCGCGATGGTATATGTCTATCTCTGAGGGATAACCTTCAATAACCATTTTTATCCTTTACTTTTTATGAGAAATAATGACTTCTTTACGAAGCGATTGTAGACAATACAGCATTAATTCTTATCCATTTAAGTACCTTAAATTCATTGTGCATTTAATATAAATCAATATGACCCTTTACAGCTTGTAATTTAAATGAATATTTTTGACGATATTACAGATTTAAAATGCAGGGACATAGTGGTTGCGGCATTACCGGCCGGGAGGCCGGTTTGTATTGTCTAATGAGAAAAAAACTGTGAATGTTGTATATAAAGACATTCTGCAGTATATTTAGTATGTTCAGGGGGTATCTTTTGAAGATTTCCCCTTTTCGATAATAATCTAAACAAAACAAAAATATATTTAGTATCAGCATTGCACCCGTGCGAAGCTGGGGCGGGTCACTAGTTTNAAATTTATTTCAATTAGCTTTAAACGAGCATAAATAGCAAACAAAAAACTAATGTCATTTTTAATATTTTGTCTGGAATTTATAGATGCATTAGGTTCTTTTTTTTAATTATATCAGCAAAATTACGAAACATGTGACTATCACAAGCCCCCGGTAATAATAATTGCAAACATTACAACTTATCAAGCTTTTAAAAAAGTTATCAAAATTTTTATTAAATATGACATCACTACATTCGTTAGATTATCTGGCGATAGATACGACGAATTGTTTTCTAAAGATTAATTTTCTGTAGTAGCAGCTGTAAAGAGAAATTCAAGTGTACTCTCTTTGTTAATTTTAAGTGTTAACCTTCATTATTAAAGCAACTGATATGCTTCTTCAGATCAGACACTTATATTTAATTATCCAATAGCATAAAAACTTAGTTAAATTCGTTATCTTTTGTATGTTCATAAAACAGAGGAAATTGTTATTTCCATTACTAGCTAAGCCCACCCAAACGGTGATGATCTGATCATGATATTATGGAGTCAGTGATTGTGTTAGATTTGGACACCTAAGATGAATTCGAAATTTAATCGAAATCATGGTTGTTCAGTTATTAAACCTTGAAGAACGCGAAGTTTTAATATTCCATAAAACTTAAAAAGAAAAATAATAATATTGATTAATAAACAATCAACCATTATTGTTTCATTTATGCTGAACAATAAATATGTTATTAAATTTTACTTTGATACAAAAATATTTCATGTTTCCTAAAGTCTTATGAAGAACAGAACTGAGACTTGTAAAAATCACTCACATCAGAAGCGGTTGTGGTTTGAGACTAAGAATCTCACCCAGAAGTACTTATTAGGAGACAGGGGCATACTTACAAGGTTTCACAAGTCTCACCCAGAGTTATAGGCATACAAGCAACTTTAAAATCTCACTAAGTTTAATGGGTAACGCCGCAAGTTCCTACGATTAGAAACAATACACAGTCAAATAATGAACTTGGAACTTTGTTATATGGGCCAACGAAAGCAGTAAACATTTGAACAATTTTTAACCAATTCGCTTTATCTTCATCTTTTTCATCATAGAGTAAACAAATACAGCAGCTTCATAAAATTTAATGTGGAAAATACGCTAATTATTTATTTATGAGTAAAAATTTCATATTATCAATATGGCGGACGGCCGCCATTACATACGATTACTACTTAATTGTGATTTACGGTGACATATAACATCCCAATCATTGTTTTTTTAATGAAGTCGGAATGACGAATGGAACTGTCACAGTAACATCGTTTATATGGTAAAATTTTAGACCAAGTAACAAATTTTTGAAGGTGACATGGTACATTACAGAAAAATAGACAACATTTCTTACATACTGTAGCTTAAGTTAAGATAATGTATAAAGGTGATTATAAAAACCGTTTACACAATGCATCGTGACGTCAGATTTGGATTAGGGTTTTGCTAGAATATTTGAGTGATACGAGTTAACATGAGGTTTTCAAAATAATATAATCTAAAAAAAATAATTACATCATCAAATTCCTACGTAATATTATCCGAAATGTAGATACTAAAATGTACTTATGTCAAAAGAAATTGATGATCTGATTTAGTGGGCCATTTGAGGAAGAGGATGCAATAACGTAATTGTTTTTTTGTAAGGCGTCAACCAATAAAATATTGGGTAAATAAATAAATTAATTTAAATATGGAAGGTGTTAAAGAAAAGCTACGTATTTAATAGAAGTTGTTACGAATTGCGGTTTCTTTATTAGTGTACTATCTAAACTACAATTTTCTTAATATAGTCTGATCGGGGAAAAAGATTACATCACGGCCACATTTAGCCCGGCGCCAATAAAATTCGTTTGACTTAATCAATACGTTCAATGAAAAAGCTTATTTATCATTGAGTGGAATTAAGACAATGATCAATATCTTCCCAGATTACCTAATCGAAAAAAAAGACAAACCCTGTAAAATTTATTTTTATCTTCAATAATAGAAAATCAATAAAGAAAATAATAATGAGATGTAAGATTTAGTCATGAACATCACTACATAGTATAAAAGAAAGTCGCTTTCCCGCTGTCTGTCCCTATGTATGCTTAAATCTTTAAAACTACGCAACGGATTTTGATGCGGTTTATTTTTTTAAAGATAGAGTGATTCAAGAGGAAGGTTTATATGTATAATACATGCATAATATAGTAGGGAAACACTGATAATTTTAGAGGTTTCTAATGTGATGTCGTAAATAAACACATTTTTTGCGCTTACATTGCAAACGCTGGCTGAACCCTACGA